TTGTACTGACTTCATTCTTATACTTTGTGCTGTCTGATATGTGGTTTTTCTTATATGTTTTCAATGGCAATCAAAATGTGTGGTTTTGCGATATTATTCTTTTTTGGGAGTGGTAACTATGATTCTTGGCTTTTGTTATGTAAAATCATGCTTCACGGTGTATAAAGACCAGGATGTTTATCTGAAGTTAGATTGCTTGTTTGACATTTAGATAATTTTTTTCTGATAAGAGCCTACTTAACCTGACCCGCTGGCAGATCAAATTGAGTTTAATACTACTTACTAGTGGGAATGTAGTGTTAGGTGAGTCATTATCTTTGTTTATTGCAGTCCATACACTAACAGGTGGTTCATGTTGTGTAAGTTTTTCGTGGTGTTGTTATTGCCCTGCACATACTTTGAAGGCCTGATTTTAGCATATTGTAATGTTACAACTTTTTTTAATAATTCTTCAGAGTCAGTTATCATATGTGGTAGTAACCTCTGTTGATATGGTCTGAATAAATAGTTGAACTTTTCTTAAAATTGCTTTTTCTTTGCAGATAGTTTACGGAAGTGATGAGTTTCTTGAGAACTAAGGAACTTTTTCAGCTTATTAAGCATGCATCCACATTGGAACTGTCTTATGTGTTACAGGTCTTTTTCCCCAAAGGAAACTTCAGTTGAAGGACTAATCTTTGTTGATGTTGGCATTGATAATAAAACGATAACTTCTTATAGACCTGGAGAACAAGTAGTTTATTTGTGGTGTCTCAGTTTGATTACTCAATATTTGGGTCAAAATGACAAGCTTTAAATACCCAGCTTATTTAAACAATAATATAGCTTGCATTTGAGAACACCATAACACTGCATTTATAAACTATGTACTATGGGGTCTTAGCCAAGACCAGTGATATCATGTGAAGAACTAGTTTCAGCTTACATTGAATAGGTGTGAAAAAGATCAATTCCTCTGGAAAGACAATGAAAGATTATTTCCTGAGTAGGAATTTTAGTTCCAATTACATAAAAAACTTCTCTCTTTTGTTTTTGATGTTATGTTGTTGGTAGATGCTTTGACAATATAAATTGGAGAGAACAGGATAATGATCATTTGCTAACTATGTCATGACCATCTTCTCAGAATAGAACTATGTCCATGGCCAAAAATATCTTGTAAATGTGATTCAAATACAATGATTATCATCAGGCAGTAAAATCTTAATCTTCCAATTCTCTTTATCATTCATATTCATGGCATCTGGGGATATGGATTGGGATTATGGCCATTGACACCATATTTGTATGATGCAGGTCAATCAGGGGGACATTATCTTGGAGCTTGGTAACGGCGTGACTTGCTCTTAGCATCCAAACTTCATTCAGAATCTGTACTTGTTATTCTTGACGAAGTTTATTTTAGCCCTAATGCAAGGGCACAGGGGTACCATTGGTTCTTTACCAGAGGCCTTAAACTTTGACCATGGATCTGCATCAAACAGTGCAGGAATAGATCCGCAGATTTGCTGGAGTGGTATTCATAATACTGGAGAAAACCGGTTGCCGAATTATATGCTTTCACCAAATGATGCAAACATTACTTTTGTGAATCCTATTTATCATGAACAACAGGATTTGAACAGATGGAGCCATGGCGAATCGAGCTCTAGTGGTACAAAGAATGAGGTTTGTCATGATGAGCAAAAATCAGAGCATGGATGGTCATCTTCTGCCGGTGCTTGTGCTGGAGCTGTTCCAAGATCAGAAGGAAGAAGAAACGACAGTGTTGGAGTGAACCCCTTATTTGCAGAGTGTTCAAATTCCAATATAGTGGTGCAGAATCTCAACTTGAACACAGGTTTTATGGGTAATGATGGTGATGGTAATCAAAATATGGAACATACTAATTTCCACAAATCTAGTCGATCAGAAAACGAGCAAGTTTCACCGGCTAGGGGTTCTGAATATCTGGTGGAACACAATGGTGGTAGACCAGGTTGTGCCCTTGAGGGTCGTCGTACATCCTGCAAAAGAAAGGCCCTTGAAGGAAGTGTTGGTCAGTCTTCTTCAAGTGGGAATTGTAATGATTTTCAACGTGCAGAAAGTAGTGTGTCAACTGCTCTCTCTCCCTGCTATAATGCAGGAAGTGGTTTAAGTATATCTTCCTCATCAGAACAGGTGAACCCAAGACTTGTACTTGGTTCAAGGGGAATGGCTTCTGGAAGCATTCCTGATTCAACAGTTACAGGAGCTGTTGAAGGCTCCCATAGAAATTTCCGTCTGAGGATTAATCATTCAAACCAACAAGAATCCATAAACCCGACTTTGTTTCAGTCAGGGATTGTTAGGCATTCTAGTACTTCGACTTCACAGCAGTCCTCAAGCCTTCTGCCAGTTGATCATTCTCTGGATTTGAGGTCAGCACCAGCTGTTGATAATTTGAATTGTCAAAGCCAGAACACTGCCATCCATGTTCCAGCACTAACTAGAAATGTGCACCCATTTAGGTGGAGTGGAGGCCCAACCTCAAGAGCTGGAAGTTCGACAAGTTCTATGTCTGTGGATAGAGATGCTATGCCCCGTGAAGAAACCAGGTCAAGAAACTTAGCTAGAAACATGGCAGATAATCATTTATTCATGCCTGTGCCTGACTTCAGAAATTCCATCCGAAATCCGACAAATAGAGGCTTAACTGGTTTAAATATAGGCATTCCTGGAAATATTGCATCTACATCAAGGGTTGCTTCATCTTCAGGAGTCCAACCTTCTTCTAACCCGGCATGGGTTCTTCCTCCTCCCAATCCTCCTCCGCATTTTCCAAGAAGATTCTCGGAGCTGGTTAGGAGGTCTTTGCTTTCTACTGTTGGAGCTGATTCTGGGGGCACAAGCAGTGATCGTTCTCCCCTTCTTTCAGTTCCTCCTCCTTCCCCCGAAGAGATGGTTCTTCCCTCAGGATCTGGTAGCCAGGGGCATCATCACTCATATCCCCGATCGGCGCCATGGTTGGAGAGGCAAGGCGATAGTATACTTGGAATTCCCCATTCTTTGCGTGCGTTGGCTGCTGGCAGTGAAGGAAGGAGCAGGCTTGTTGTATCTGAGGTTAGTTCTTCTGCTCTTTGGTTCATTGGTTAAATGTTATTGTATATCTATAGTAGTTATTCTCTGGCATTTTAAGTGAATGTTTTATTGAATGGTAATCTAACTGGTATTGTCATCAAACTTTTCATTGTTTGTTATGAATGTTGTCTGACTCAGTAACTCTGTTGCTGGTTCTGCCCATAAACTTGTTCATTTCTGGGCCAAGTTTTAGGTAGTCTATGATGTCTATGTAACCTTTTCTTCCACACATCTGACATAATGTCAATATAACTCTAGGCTTTTGGATGTAATAGAAACTTTTTTAATAACAAACAAGTTCCCTTGATAGAAGTTTTATTTTGTTTGCTTGCTTTATTGTTTGCAATATATAGTGGTCTTGTGAAACAAGCACTGACTGGAGCTTATACTGCTTTTTTTTATCTGGTGCAGATTCGCAATGTCTTGGATCTCATGCGGAGGGGTGAGAGCTTGCGTTTTGAGGTTAGCCTTTCAATTTGTTGGATAAATTACTAAATGCATTAGTTGAACCCTATAGATGAATATGTCATACGGCTTTTAACTGACAAGATGAAATATGCTTTCTAATTGACTAACTTGTTACGTTCATTTTATTACCCATACTACACATGTCAAAGCACGGTTTTCAGTATGATATATTTGAGCACAGTACTTGCCGGTGTTAAAAGGGAAGAGTGGTAAGAGGGAGGCTGAGAGTAGAAGTTTTTTATTTCTTTATTGAGATCCCAAGAGGATAGAAGTTTAGCATGATATTTAATTGTTAAAGTCCTGGAAAATGGGGTTCTAAGTCTTGCTTTCTGGAGATCTATTCTACTTCATGGTTGCTTTTGGTTCAATGCCCGTTAGATTTCCAGTCAGTCCTCTTTTCTAATTTTTATATTGATCTCGACATGAATAATATCTTACCTTTTTTGTGTTTAAGTTATCATCTTTCAACCTTGAGTTTCTTGATGATGATGAGAACTCAGTTTCTTTCAAGGTTGGGGTTCATCTCCAGCATGAAGAAACTCGAGGTGTGGTGGTAATTCAAACATAATAAATTTATATTCTAATCATGTATAGTAAGACTGACTGAACTGCTTGTCCAACAACAGAATGAAATGCTTCTCTTCTCTGCCTCACCTTGGGAAGTCAAGTGGAAAATAGCCTTTATCTTCTATTTGATGGATGCTATCTTTCTGTCCTGTTTAGAAAGATGGCCGTAAACTAAGTAACTTTTCTTCTTCACAGCTTAACCAAACTAAATTAGTCTAATGGGATGTAGGGGTGATCGATATAGGAATCTGTGAAGCGAGCCCATTTAAGGATGAAGTCATCCGAGGGGAATTATATTCACCTCTCTTTCACTTCATTACTTGTGAGTATGAAATGGTCGTAGGATTAAAACTAAGAATTTACTAGGAACAGACTGGGAATGGCTCTAAATAGGCAGCCAACTTTTCGGGTTTGGTTGGGCATATGATTTGAAGTATGGATTTTCACAAGAATGGGAATCTATTGTTTGTCCGCTTATGTAAAAACTTTTGCTTGCACGGCAGGATGTCATGATCCTTGACCAGTCAATGTTTTTTGGAGTAGCTGATATTCATGACCGGCATAGAGATATGCGACTTGATGTGGATAACATGTCGTACGAGGTAAAAAAACAGCCAAACAGAGCTTCTTTTTAATGTTATGATTTTTGTAACAAAGATTGTTCTGATAGTTACCTTTATTTTCTTATTATAGGAGTTACTAGCACTCGAAGAGCGAATTGGAAATGTTAGCACAGGATTGAGTGAAGAAATTATAAAAAACAACCTTAAGCAGAAGAAATGCTCCATTGCTCAAGGAGCACAGCAGGAGGGAGAACCTTGCTGTATCTGTCAGGTAATGAATTTTTTCTGATTGCATTTTTCATCAGACTTCAACGCTTGAATTATTTGCTGAACTGTTGTTTTGGACTAAACAGGAGGAATATAACGACGGAGAAGATCTTGGAACACTGGAATGCGGGCATGATTTTCATAGTGATTGCATTAAACAGTGGCTGATGCGGAAAAACTCATGTCCCATTTGCAAGACGACGGGCTTGACTACAAAGTGAGGGAGGGCGATTAGTAAAGACTGTCCCTACAACTTTTGTCGCATATTATATAGTTCATTGGAACCAATCCTCAGGTGGGTGTTGCCATGGTTGATCTTCAGTGTGAAGGTAGTCCATGGCATAATTCACTGGAGGGCTATAGACAATTTTCTCTTTTTTTGTTTTCTCTTAATTTTATGGAGGGGGGAGGAAATGGTGGGGAGGATACTGCAAATTCCTGGAGAAGTTGAAGAATAGCAAAACTAGTTTCTAACTTTTTCATTCATTAGTGAAAAATTTAGGTGTTATGATGCCGTCTATCAAAAAGTATTCAGCCTATTGGCAACATAGAATTTGTTCAAGTTAAAAATTGCATTGAGAAATTGATGAATTCCCCATTTGAATTAGCTTTGGAACCTTTTTAATATTATTCCAATTACTTTATTGTTTATTTTCTGATGCGCGCCATCATTATAATTTTATTTCTATTTAGAGGAGTATGATAATTTTATTGACTCTATATGATAATGCAGGGGAATTATATTGATAGTGGGGGGCGATTTTGTGTTGTAAATTTTTTTTTTTTTTAAAATATTTTTTTTAGTAAAAAATAAAAAATTATTAAATAGTTGTTGTAAATATAGCATTATTTATTTATTTTATTTGATTGTTTTATTTATTATAATTATTTATTTATTTATTTTTTTTGTTGGGTTCGCGTCTCAGTCCCATTTCCATTTGACTGAGAAAAGAGTTAGCAAAGCACAGAGGGTGTTGCTAACACGCTACCAAAAAACTGACATCGGGAATTGCATTTTTTATTTATCTTTTTTTTAATTAATGCTGAGTTTTCAGACCAAGCTGACGTTTGGTTTAGATAAGAAACTCACCCCTCAAATTTCTTTCTTTTTTGACTTTTTCACCCCTTAAATTTCAAGAATCAAAGTGCCCAAAATCAAATTGAAAATAACTCCTTCTCCCCTGACATTTATTCTACATTTTCATTCACATCCCTAAAAGTATTTGGACTGAAATTTCACTCTTCCTCCTTTGAGGGTTTAATTGAAAAATAAATAGATTCGGAGGGGCGCTCGTGCAAGAAAATATAAAATATATGAGGTGGGTTTGGTCTAACGGAAAAGAGAAGGAAAACCATAATTAAGGCGGGAGATTAATCAACTCCGGATTAAATAGACGTCTTCATAAAAACCTTAAACCCCTTCATTAAAAACAGCGAAAGCCAACAAACACAGCACAGAAAAAGAGACCCGAAGAAAAGAACAGAGCCATCCCAAGAAGAAAAAGCAGAAAACTTTCAAACACAGACGGTTTCTTTTTTGCATAAATTTGAGATGCAAACAAAACCCACCTGCTGATCCTTCTTCAAACGCCTTCCCTCTCCCTTTCTCTCCTTCCTTTCTTTCATTTCCCTGCTCTTTCATGGCGGATCTGTACGGAGCAGCTCCGTCTTCTACCGCTCCTCCAGAGCCCGAGGAAATCTCCACATTCATCACCCAATTCCTCAACACCTCCTCTTCTTCTTCTTCCGCCCACTGCATGCCCTTCAAACCCAAATACGTCCACTCTTTCTCTTCTCCGCCACCGCCGGCAGCCAATCCCGGTCCCCTCTTAATGGAAGATCGCCGCTGGTTCGCTGGATCGATGGGTCTCCCCGAGTCGGAGTGCCGAGTTAGGGAGGGCAACTCTGGAGCTGTTGTTGACACGTCTTCCTCCGGTATCAATTTCTCCGATCCTCAAGGGTACCTCGGAACCAATGTGAAGGAGAGAACGGAGAATACTTTCTCGTCTGTCGCTCACTTGAGCTGTGACACCGAGGTAAGCAACGTGATTCTTGTTTTTTATTTTTTTCCTTTTTAATCGGCTGGTTGCCGAGAAAATTTTTAACTTTGATCTAATTGACTAGAATGCAAGAAATCATCTTTAACAGAAATGAAAAAGACAAAAAATGGTTTGTTGGAGTGTTTTCTCTTTTCTCTTTTCTTCAGAATTGATATAATGAAAGCCATATTCTGTTTAATTAAGTGGAATTTGAGTTAAGAATGAACTATTGTTCAACTTAGAAGGGGCCGGATGTGTCGGAGTTGCCGGCAAATCGAGTTCCGGCTAGAACTTCATCTAAGAGGAGCAGAGCTGCAGAGGTTCATAACTTGTCAGAAAAGGTTTGTTCTTGGTTTCCAGAGTCTCAAATTTAAAGTTTGCAATCTGGTTCTGTTGTAGATTAGGTAGTCTTGATTGAGCATTGTCTTGCTGATTGGTAATCTCAGAGGAGGAGGAGTAGGATTAATGAGAAAATGAAGGCTTTACAGAACCTAATCCCAAATTCTAACAAGGTATCATAATCTGGTTTCTTTTTTTCAAAAAACAAATTGGCCTTCGGCGTTCGATTCTTCAAATGATTGATTTTATTACATCTTTTGTTGCGATAGACGGATAAGGCTTCAATGCTGGATGAGGCAATTGAGTATTTGAAACAACTCCAGCTTCAAGTGCAGGTGTGTGAAATAATTCTAGTTATTTCTTATTTGATTCCTTACATATCCTGGCTTTTATTGTTGTATTCAAATTTTTCAAGTCATCTCTTAGGTAATTAATTTTGATCAACACCGGAAGGTGAAATTAGGTTTCGTTCAGGTCTGTAATTGATGCCGGCATTCATGATAATTGGAAACTTCATTAAAATAAAACTTATTGCCCTTCTATCACAAGAAAATATTTCGAATTTTGTAACGCTTGTATTGAATACATTGTTTTCTGATATCCGAGCACATTTTTCTACGACGAAGTACTCTAACGCACCTCATAGGCGTGATGCCTCCAACAACTTCCACACACAAATCAAGGAAAAAACGCTCATAGCCTTAACATCAAAACGGTAATTTACTTTCACCATTATATTTACACTATTAGCTCAAGGGAGTTACCATGCTTTGGAGGCATATCCAGTGTAATCTACCTTATTTCAGCTATACGATTGTAAGTACTGGCTGGTTATCAAGATTCATAAACAATGGTTTTTGGGTTGAAAAGGTTTGGTATATCTGGAAAATGGCATGGTTCTTGAATTGGATGGTGGTAAAGTTTTTTGGGTAACCTACTGATGATTTCCTATACTAGTTTAATTTTGGCCTTCCCCTGTGAAAATTGCTCAGTATCCTTTTTTTCCGTGTCTGTGCTTGTGGCACCGGCTATATGTCTTTACTCGCATCCCGATATTGGCATTTTTACGGTTACAAGTTTTGTACTCATTAAAGAGGAAAACAAAAAGGCCCGTCGTTTAGCAGGGCTCCAGGGTCACACCTTTAAAATGAGCGGTTACCTGTGACTGTTTTTGCCCGGCTAGCTCACAGGTTTTGGTAGCCACCTTGGTTTAAAATGAGCGGTTAAGTGTGACTGTTTTGCCCAGCTAGCCCACAGGTTTTTAGGTAGCCACGTCGGTTTGTTGTTTTCTAGAAGGCTGTAATCTGATTTCAATGCACTGGCGATGTTTTCTAAGAAACAAATTACTGAGTTTTTAAGTGGAGAAACAGTCAAGTAAACCCAGAGAGACTGCCTGATAATATTATCCTTATTTTTCTTCCGAAGTTACTCATACTCTTGTTATTGCTCCATAAAGTCTGCTTCTTTCGATTGTGATTTGATCATACAGATGTTATCGATGAGAAATGGGCTGAGTTTGTATCCAGTGTGCTTACCCGGAGTTCTACAGCCTATGCAACTGCCTCCTACAGGAATGGGTTACCACGATGATGGTGGACTGTTGAATTCTGCTCCAGGAGCAGGCACAATATCAGCCAATGAAGAAAGCTCTGTGCAGACTGCGTATATTCTCCCCAGCCAATGTGCTAGCTCAAGCCAGTCCATCGCAATACCTTCAGTGACAAACATCAATGCTTTGGAAACTTCATTTGGATTTGAACCGTCAATTCAGGCGAACTATGGACCATTTAACCTCACCCCAACTTCTGAGGTGACTTCACTACAAGATTAATGATGATTAATCAGAAATTCCCATGATTAACTTTGTCCTTTTTTTTTTTCTTCCTTTATTTGAAATTTCAAGGAAATCTGCAAAGAGGGCAAACTAGAACTGCCATTAGACGCAAATCGTGCTGGGAACAGCTCATCCGGTGTGTCTTAGCAAAACCGGGAACCCCACAAGACAGGATGTGTAGAATTGAGACCACCATGTCTAACACCATAGACAGTGCAAATGATAATTGAAGCTGCTGATAGTTGTCATTTTGTGTTGTAAGTGAAACAAGTAGACAATTTGGATTTCAAGTTTCAAGCTGTTGATATCCCTTGACTTACAGGAAAAAAGAAAAAAAAAAAAATATTCCCAAGGTTTTTGGTGTTTTATCCCAGCAAACTCCTCCATTACTTCCCCTTCTTTTTCCTTATATTATTCTTATATAATTCTATCCATAAATTTGTTAATAAGTTTATTCATTTTGGATTTGGATGTTGGAAAATTTATTGCTTGTGTCTGATGCATGAACATAACCTTGTCGGTTAGGCTCCATTTGCTATTATTTGACTCCTTTCATTGAAGATATTATATACATTTATTGTGAAACATTGCATCTATCTGTACATGCCAAATTTTGAAGGCTGTGTACAATCAGGTTAACTAAGACTTAAAAAGTCAAGAAGTTATAGGTCTGAGTTGAGCTATGTTCTTGTGTGTTTGTGTTTCTGTAGGAATTATTTATGTTATGTTATGTTATGAATGATATAATATTTGAATCTATTTAAAACAATTACAGAGGAATCTGGAAAGCTAATAATTGGGTCTCAGCTTTTCCAAATTTTCAGCCTGCAAAATCATTTGAGAGGCCACACATTTCATGTATATTGAATAATCAAATACTGTCTTGACAACAGGAAAGAAGCTCTGCTTTTCCAGAAATTTGATCATATGGTGATTGGTTGACAGAAAGTAACTTTCCTGTCAATACTTTTTCCCCCCCCCCTGTTTTTCTTCCTATATGCTGTGTCTTGTTCCACAGAATTTTAAGTGAACTACTATACTTCAAAGGTTGATTGAATGATTCAAGATCTTCTTCTCTTCTTGGGTTTGGATTCAAGGTGTGAGTTACAACGACTAGGAGGATTTACCATAAGCAAATCTAATTTAGAAAATTTTAACCCATACCTTGATTCAAGAAACTGGAATGAAATTTCAAGATTTTTTCAAAATTGGTTTAATTAGGTGGAGAAGAGAGTTTGGCGTGATGGGTTTTATAATATTTTATGAAATGTCGTTTTAGCATAGAGGCAGAGGAGTTAGTTTCAATTTGACGATGGTGTGTGACAGGAGAAAAGACCCAAAAAAAAAAAAAAAAAAATGAAAAAAAGTTTCAGCCTTTTAGACAGTAATATGAAAGCGTCACTCCTCAGAGAATCTTCATCAAAGTTTGATGAGTTATACACTCAAACTGCAGTCATAATAAAGTTCTTGAAACTGAAACTTTTCAGTTTTATATCACATGAGCGAGGAGAGAGAGATAGAGAAGTAGTAGTGTCTGATCTGGTATGCTGCCAGCCAATAATTGTTTCAAGTCTGAGATTCTGTGTTTAATTGGATTGTAAATTAAATTTTTTTTCAACATTTTCAAAGTCAATCTAATGTAAAGGATTGATTTGAATAGTAATATTACATTATTATTATTATTTAAAAAAACTCAAAAAAGATGGGCTGGTGCAACAAATTTTGTAAAACTCCAAACCAATTTAAATACTTGAACTCAAAGTAGGTTCATTAAAGCCCGATTAATTTCCGGATCAATTAGGTTTTATATGAAACTTAATTCAATGCAAATATGGTATGATTAAAAGGAGGGATGAATTGCTTGCTAATTTTTTAAATCCCATTCTCTTAGTTATTGCTTCAAAAGATTAGAAAATTGATTAATATTTCAGGATAAAAGTATTAATTTTTTTTTAATAAATAAATAAAATAAAACAATTTATTACAGAAATTCTATTAATAGTGAAAATAAATGCTCTTAAATTTTTCTTAAAAAAATTGTAAAAATTAAAATTATATAAAAATATGACGAAATTTACTTATATTATACAAAAAAATAAGATTGTAGATTAGAATCATAAAAAAATGATTAGTTTAAGTTTAACCATTTCATTTTATATACATAAAATTAGGATATTTAATGCCTTCTTTCTATTTTCCAAAATCAACTTCTTCTTCTTTTTTTCCCAAATATAATAATCTTTACATTCAAAAGCCGTCAAAGCAAATTATGAAATACCACTAAAAATTTTCTCCTAAAACTTGACGGAAATTTTTTTTTTTTTTTTATATAGTTATATTTTTTCAATACAAATTTATAATTTTTTATGTAAAATTAATTATTTTTATATAATTATAAAATATAATTCATCTATTTTAAAGGGAGATAACTTTATTGATGAACTTAATAAAATATGACACCATTATACTTAATTATTAGTGATGATATAATTTATACTGAAAGTTATAATTTTATATTTAAATAATTTTTCTAATAAAATTACAACTATACTAAAATATTAAAAAAAATTAAAATTAATTTATTAAATAGAACTTAATTAAATATATATTATATATTTATATATCTAGGTCATGCCGATGAGTAATAAAGTTCAAGGGCAAGATATGTAAATAAAGAGTAAAGTAGGGGTGATAAAGTAAGAAAAGCGTGAAGGACCCGCCCAAAGAAATCTGTAGTGGGACGCGTTTTAGTATCCGTTTTTGTTTGTAGGCGAAATAACGGCATTTCTCATGATTGTATTTCGTCCTCTTTCTCATCATCTTCTTCCTCGCCATTGCCACCTTCTCCTCTTCTAATAACGCTTCTTCTGTTATCGCTTTATAATGTCTGCCCTTACTACCACCCCTTACGGTTCCTCTGTTTCGGATGATAATTTCCTTGGTGGTGTGGGAGATAAGTTGGCCGGTCAAGAGGCGAATTCAACCTCTAACAGTGTTTCAGTCATGGAGAAAGAGGGAGTAGAAGAGGCGCCGATGGATCGGAAGAGAACCGGAAAGGGAAGTATGGCGAGTGGAAAAAGCAGAGTTAATGGTGCTGCTGCTGAAAATAGTACTGGCGAACGTGGCTGCGAATCTGAGCATGAGGTACATATTTGGACGGAGAGAGAAAGGAGGAAGAAAATGAAGAATATGTTCTCTAGTATTCAAGCTTTACTGCCTGACCTGCCACCTAAGGTATACTCTAATTAGTTTGCAGAATATATTTATGTTAAGCAAATTTTAATTCCTTCAGTATTAGCTGACAGTGTCTGTGTTTAGGGTTTTCTTTTTCCCTTTCCATCTAAATTCTCTAGCTACTAGAATTAACTGGAAATGATCTCCTATATGGCGAAAGTTTTTTTAATTCAATTTAATCTTTTGATCTGTCCATTTTGTGCTTGGACTTCTTTTTTCCCTTTTGAATTTTCATTTAGGATTGCTCATTTACAGTTGATTTTTTAGATCTTCTTTCATATACATATCTATTGATAAAGATAAAAGAAAGGTACTAGTGAAAAACCTCCTTGTAATAAGATGGAGTATACCCTACTGTATAAACAAGCCAGCTATATATATATATAGCTGGCTTGTTTATATAGTACACACACATATATATATATATACACACATATGACCATCATTTCAAACTTTATCAGCTCAAATTCTTGGAACCCTATGCAAGTGGCGTCGATATAAACCAAGGTATAAAATCGTGGTCATATGTATAGTTGGTTTTTCTCCTTCTATATGTATTTTGTTCTTTAGTTAATTAATAGAATATCTTTGTTCTTCTGTGAATATATATTACCCGTGTATAGATGCGTATGTGTATATAATCTAACTTGATTTTAGAAATGTCTCCTTTAACTACGCAATTGATTAGCTAATTGTTTAAATTAAAGGAATCAAATCTTAATTTTCAAGACGAACAAGAATATAACTAATTCTTGCTTGTCCTTAATCCGGATCTTGGTGATCGACTTTCACCATTAATAGTCTTCAAGATTGAATTTAGAGCGGTAGTTGTTACTTTAATTACTATGTCATGGGTGCTAGCTAACTCAGTAAAATTAATGTAATTGTTATGCAATAATATAGAATCAAATTTGGGTTACATCCCTAATGAACAAGATTATAATTGTTGAAAAGATGATGACCCAATTAATCTTAATTTAGCCTTGGTGTGTGTATGATATATATTTATGACCAGCATATGTATTGGCTTACTAAACTAAACTATATTTCAAATGTCTCACCGAAGTATATTATGATTTCCAATCTCCTTTGAAACTTCAAAAAATTGTACAGGCCGACAAATCCACCATTGTTGATGAAGCGGTTAGCTACATCAAAAGACTTCAACACTCTCTCCAAACTCTCCAAAAACGGAAGCAAGAAAAACTTACAGGCAGTATAGCAACATTAATGACTGATCATTTTGAAACTTCCATGGTCACTCCTGAGGTGCAAAAAGCTATGCCTGAACATTATTCAAAGGAAGCACTTTTGGCTGACCATCAGGCACAATCATCAGATAACAACTTGATTGGCATTTCAGACATGGCTAATCGATTTCCTCAGTGTCTTCCTGCAACTAATTGCTTTCAGTTTCGGACATGGTTTTCGCCCAATGTTGTCATCAACATGAATGGCAATGACGCACATTTCAGTATCTGTTCTGTGAAGAAGCCAGGGCTATTGTCTACTCTCTCATACATACTTCAGAAGCATAATTTGGAAGTGGTGTCTGCTCAAGTTTCCTCCACTCAATATCATTGCATGTACATGATTCATGCCCATGTAAGTACTCAGAAACTTGGTCTCCCAACTTAATGTTCTTAATCAATTTCTATAGTATTACATAAATATATAAATAGGTGCTATTAGGGTTCATGTGGTGCCCATCATGGCTCATAATAATTTGCTAACTATTTCTAATGATTTTGAGTTTCTGTTTGTCTAATAAATATGAAATCTGATTTTTACACAAATTTGTGTAATTACAGTTGAAGCATGATATATCTGATATAACATAAATTTAATCTGAATGAATAAAAGACCAAAACGAAAGGTGATGTAACCCATTAAGACGTCAACTACAAGGAACCAATGATGATGTAACCCATGATTGTATTTGATCATATATGTTAATTGTGGAAACCTCTATTCTTATCATTGATACTAGCTAGTAGTAAAACCGAGAGTTTTTGGCTTTATATATTGGTGCCTCTCTCAGCAATAATGCTTTCGGTGATTAATTTATTTTATCAATACCTATATCATTTCATTGTATAAATAATAAAAAATAATAATTTTAATAAATAATTAATAAATTAATCTACTCTTTATTGACTTCAACTTTCGATAATATTATTTTAAATTTTTTGTATTTAATATTATAACAAATTATAGGTGTAGAGCTAAAATCTTGATTCTCCTCATACTTTTATTAAATATAATTTAGCAGACATGGTAATTTATTCACTATTTTTATATTGTTTAAGTTTTTGAAAAAATGGATTCAAGTATATTATTTAAAATTTGTAGTGCAATACTAATGATTAATATAGATTTATATTAATATGGTTTAAATCTTGTATCAGGCGACTTATACAGTTTCTGATGATCAATTTCTAGAAACATTATCTGTGGAGGAAACATTTAAACTAGCAGCAGGAGAGATGAACTTGTGGTTAATGACATAATTATGCAAAGAAAATATGGAATCAGAAGATTGGTTCATTTTAATATAATTCCAACTAGAGATATCTACTCAACTTTATATCTTTCTATCAGAGACGTGGACATGCTTTCTATCAACTTTTGGCATGGGTTGAAGCTTTTATGTGCATCCACATCCATGAGGAATATAATATATGTATATGCATATGTTCATGTTGATGCACTGAATAAGTGCATGATATACATGTATTTTACATGCATCTTCTAGTTTTCATAAAGATATATAAATTTTCAATAAATGATTATTTTACCTTAAAATAAAGTCATGTATATACTTATAATATGAGATTATAGACAGATATATACACTAATTAATTTGTAATTAGAGTCTATTTTTCTAGCGCATCTATTAGATTTCATTAGTATTAAATAAATGTATTAATATATACAACCTTTTTTTTTAAGAGAATAGAACTCTTGTTAGATTAGTGGTCTTATTCTCCTCCTGTAGATTACATATATATATATATATATATATATATATATATATATGGGTATCACTTGATTGGGAGAGCCAGAGACAAGATCATCAGCTGATTTGCCATGTATGGCAAGGGAGAGATATACACGAACATGCATGAACCTCTTCTGCTTCTTTGATCTTCACATACATGATATATATATCTAGCTACTTCATACTAACTGAATCTACAGACTAATAAATGCTAATTAAAACAGATAGACATATATATTACTGCTGAATATATACATATATAACTTGTACAAGAACATGTCACTTTATTGGATTGAATTCGAGTATATCTTAATCTTGAAATATGATAAAGTCGTATTGTGAGAAATTAGTATCATATAACAAATAACGTTTGCATCTAACTGTACTTTATATATTTATAATTAATATATATATATATATAATATTGTTGCGGTTTAAGAATAGGAGCGTTTATAATTATTATTAGGATTTTATAGTTTTTGAAAAATATAAGTTCATTAGAAAAATTATTCGAGAAGCATGTTTGAATGGAAGTTGTAGTACTTCAAAAATTGTGATTTTATATATAGTTTTTGAATTTTAGTATTTAATTGTTTAACATAATTGAATACGCCGTGAAAATTTATATCTATTGATAAGAAACTAAATTTGCTAAAAATACAAAATCTAAGTTTAACAAATCTTCCTTGAAAATTCTGAAATTTCCAAATATAGTTGATAATATTATAGGTTTTGTTCTTAAAATTTCTATGTACTATTGTTTTAATTCAATAAATTCATCCAAAAATTACACAAATAAATGAAAACAAATGCAAAATAAATCAGATTATAATAATCTTTAAAAAAGTTGTTGGTCAAAGAAATTGTCAGATGGGAACGACTGCTGACCACTCAATTTCATTTTTGGGCCGGCAAATGATATACAGACATATTTGGTAGGCCAGAGGCCCAACTTCTTCTTGTCCATCTCATCATCCATGGCCCAGATTCAGATTGTCTAAGCTTGATGTTAAACCTGTTCGCACGTGGCAAATTATGCAGAGAGAAGTGACAAGTATCATTTCTCTATTATATATACACACACACATCTATATGATATAATATCTACGAAAGAAAAATGACATAATAACTATTCAAGAAAACGTAAAATAAGAATAATTCCAAATCAATAAGTTTACCTCGGCCTGCAGTCTGCTATTAGGAGAAGACAAAAGTAATAAATATAAAGGTCCGGAACTTAAAAGAAAAAAATTCATAAATTAAATACGGAAGCAATTAATAGATTTATAATTTACATTTCTTACAAACTAATTTTGAATGTTCAATAGGATTATTGAAATGTCCCATCTAAAAGATAAACAAAAATTAAAGAAATAAAACGAAAAGCGAATAACTAAGCATCCTACGACAACATTCACTAGTACTCCCTATTCTGTATCTTTCTTGAGGGTGGCTATAGTGGAATTAGTTAATTGGGTTTCTCTTATTCTCTGGATCAATTCAAGTTAGACAGCCAAGTGGGTCAAGCATGCAACTCTCTTTAATTCCTAAAGTTTTATCTGTTGTGCGGCCCCTATTACCTTACATTCAGAAACTATCATGTACGCTAACATACCTGTACTTTTTTTGCTGAGCGCGTCAGCTACTACATTGTCCTTACCCAGGTGATACAAGATATTACAATCATAATTCTTGAGGAGCTCTATCCAATGCCTTTGATGCATGTTCAGATCCTTTTGAGTGAATATGTTCTTTAAGATCTTATAGTCAGTAAAAATCTTAAAAGTCTCCCCATACAGGTAGTGGCGCCAGGTATTCAAGGCGTGGATAATGGCAACAAGTTTCATGTCGTGGATAGTGTAATTTTTCTCATAACTCTTCAACTGCCTGGACCTATAGGGTATGACCTTATCATATTGCATTAAAACATAACCCAATCTCAAGTAGGAGGCATCACTGTACACTGTATATCCACCTATCTTACTCAGTAAAGTCAATACAGGTGCAGTAGTCAACCATTTCTTGAGTTCTGTATATTTTAGAGAAGACTTGAGCACCCTATAACTGATCAAAAAGGTTAATAATTCTGGGAAGGGGGTACTATAAAGTCAACCTCAATCAATTATACATTGGCAACCTCAATCAATTATACATCTATAAAGTCTCAAAATATCGTTGAATTATTTATTAAGCTTTAATACCGTGATATGAAATAGGATGAGGGGTCTTTATTTGTTTCGGGGTTTGAAATCGCCTCTACAATGCGCCTACGGACTGTCCCTAATTTTCTTGAATTTTTCTCAGAAAAACTAAAATGTACTACCGGTACCTGCACATGTCCCAAAAATTTCCAAATCAGACCTAGGGCCCATTTCGGCCAATATCAGAATTCTGGCACGGCGGCTCCGCTGTGCTCCAGCGACGGCGATCCGCCTCGAGTTGGCCGTTTTCGGTCAAACTTGCATCGGTCCCTGCGATAAAATAACCCTAGGGCCCTCGGTGGGCCAAAAAATCACAAAAACCGAGACTTACCGACGGCGGTGCTCTCGGGTGCGGTGGCTTCTCTGGTGTGAGTCGCGTTTTGATGTTTTGCTCCGGTCAACTTGTAGAGAAAAGAACGGTGATCACAGTGGTATAAAAATTGCATTGAACGGAGACCGGAAAGGGCCTCATCGGAGGCAAAAACAGAGGGAAGTCGCGGCAGCGCCGCCGAACTTCGGCGAGGTATTTTGGCCGATTGGCCGGTGGTTTGGCTCCGCCTTGGCCATAGGCGGATTCAGCATCGAAAAACGAGCCAGGGAGAGAAAATTTACCTCGATTGGTGGCCGAAAAATTCTCCGGTGCGGCGGCGGGTGGCGGCGGCCGACTCCTCCGGCGTCTGGTTCTTCTTCTCCGGCGAGGCACTGGCGGCTAGGGTTTTGTGGTCAGGTGTGGGTGGGGTTATTTATACCATTCGCCTTTTAATCTCAATCGTCCATCAAGATTAAATATGAACTGTCCGATCGCGATTTATTTGGGATTAAATCTGGACCGTCCATCGCGATGCGATCTAGGCCGTCCGTGCCTGATTGAATCTGGACCGTTCGTACGCGTGAGATCTGGGCCGTCCATGTGCACATTTGATCTGGGCCATCCGTGCGCGTGGGAACAGATATGGACCGTCCGGTCGCGCGCACGCGAATCGCCCATGTGGCCCGTCCCGTGTCAGCGTTTCCTTGCCATGCGACGTGTCCTGGTTGGCCGGGGCTGCTGACTGGGCTGCTGACGTGGCACAGCTTTTTCAAATTGCATTTTGACCTCCGGTTTCCGATTTTCTTTTCAAAAACACCCCCAGAATCCAAATTTTCACATCTTTTTTCCAAAATCAATTTCAATTAAATCCAAAAAATAATTTTACCGTATTTTATCATTATTATTATTTTTATTTTCATTAAATTAAATTAAATTGAATTAAAATCTTATAAATTAAATATATAAAAAATTAAACTAAAATTCAAATACAAAAATAAAAAATAATAATTTGGGTGTTACAATGGTGGATGAGCAGGGTTGTACCGGGGTAGCTTAGCATCTTCCTGTTTTAAGGGTGGCTCAAATTGTAGCAGCGGGGCAAGGTCAAGCAGCTCCCTCCTTTCCTCCCGAACCTGTTGGGCAGAGATGAGTCTCTCCAATATCTCAAAAATTCGGTCAACATCTTCTTAAAGAAAGCCATCCTAGGCTGCTCGATTTAGTGGGGGTCTTCCTCTACTCATTTTCTTGTACCTATATTTTATTAGGAAAGATTGAGTGATAGTTTGTATTTGGTATTTTTAAGTCTTCGTGCAAGGAATAGTTCCGAAGAATGTGGCTTTGATGCCAACTATAGAGGCACGGAACTTAAAGAGAAATAAATTCATAAATTAAATGCGAAAACAATCAATAGATTTAGGGTTTACATTCTTTATACAATAATTTTAAATGCCCAATAGAGTTACGGGAATGTCTCATCTAAAAGATAAATAAAAATTAAAGAAATAAAACAAAAAGTGAATAACTAAGTATCCTATGACAACCTTCACTAGCACTTGAAGGGGGTCCGAATGGTAAACTACTCACAACCCTCTTGCTGATCGGAATTTGAATCTTGATTGTCTTGATCTGAAATAGTTAATAAAATGGTGACTTACACTAACCCAGTAAGAATGTCACACTAATTATAGATACGGAAAACTGAATATTGGTAAAAAAAATCAGAAAAACAACTAATAGAGTCATTATTTTATCTAAATATATTTAAACTTGAAGACATTTATTTAATACTTACCATAGCGAGTTTTTCAAAAATAATATATGAAAACCTATATCCATATCACTTTTTACTTTCACATATAAGAAAACGAGAAACAATAGTTTTCCTTTCTTACTTGCTTACTAGTACCCCTATGGGTCCAAAGGGGTGTTCCCCCTACCCGTGAACTTAATATCCAATTTTTCAATTGACCGGTCGTCCCCATATTCCATCTGGTAATGGATGCCAAATATTTCATTATCTCGATATCTCGTCTGGTATGAGAGTGAACCATATCTCCCAAATTTTTTCAATAAGGGACTTTCTAGCCCTGTTCGACTGAAGTAACATTCACGGTAGGGTTTCCTATGTACCGGGCCCATTCGCCCTTTTCTTATATAACTAGCAAGTCTTTTACATACAGATTTTTATCAATAAACAACTAATAAACTCATACCAATATCTTATATCACATATACAAATCAATTAAACTATATTCATGTTGATGGTATATAACCAAAATAACCAGATAAGTTGATAAGACTATTAAATTATAAATTAAGAACATGTACTATACGAAAATCAAGCAAGTAAGACAATACAGAAAAATAAACAGAAAATCAAGATAATTGTGAACTAACCAGTTTTGGCTCCACTAGTAACCTATAATTATTTTTAAAGTTTTTTAATTTTTTACAAAAATATAAAATTATACATAGTTAAGCCTCAATTTACCGTAATGGAGAATAGGGTGAGAGATCCTGACCCCGATCGGTATTTCGAGATGTCGAACTATCTATTACGCCTCCTAACAGGTACCAAGTTCCCTGAATTTTTTCTGTGGAATTCAAAACACGCATCACATACCTAACAATACCTCAAAAAATCCAAAATCAGTGTCCAAAACTCATTCCGGCCAATTTTGGGGTTCTGGCACGGTGGCACCGCTGTGCTCCGATGCCGACTTCACCGCCCACTGCAGCAGTTTGCCTCGGTCTGGCCAATTTTGATCGATTTTGACCATATCCCTATAGAAAAATACGTTAGGGACCTTGGTTGGACGGGATATCACAAAAAAATCGAACCTACCTGCGGGAGGGACCTCCAGGTGCAGCGACTTCACTAGTCCTCCTTCGTGGCTGAGGTTCTTTCTTTGGCTACCCTGTACAAAAAAGTACGGTGAACACAATGATAAAAAAATCACATAAAACAAGAATCGGGAAGGGGCTCATCGAAGAGATTTTGGAGTTTTAGCAGCGGCGGCTCTGTGGGGCTTTGCCCGTGATTTTTCGGCTCACCCATCGTCCATCTTACTCCAATTTGGCCACAGATGTACTCGAAATCGAATTCCGAATAGGTAGGGGGAATTTTTACCTTTTTTAGGGGTCGACAGTGGCTCCGGTGTGGCGGCAGTCGGCGGTCGACCTTCTTCTCTAGCGTCTGGTTCTTTTTATTCGGCAAAGGCTGGTGGCTAGAGTTTAGGTTCCTATGTGATGTGAAGTATTTATAACCATCTCACGTTGATGTGGACCGTCCATCACGATCAATCTTGTTCGTCTAATCGCTCCTAAGAAGGAAACGAATATGGGTCGTTCATCGCGATTAACCTCGACCGTCCAATCACGCTTAAGGGAGAAACGAATCCAGGTTGTCCACGCGTGCGGGATCGATCATGGGCCGTCTGATCGCGGACACGCGGATCGCCAGCATGACCAAACTTTCTCTATTTGCATTTTGACCATCTACTTCTAATTTTTCTTTCAAAAATACCCCAAAAATCTAAATTTTTACATTTTTTTAAAAAAAATTATTTTCAATCTCTCTCTAATTTATTTTTTTTCAAAATTCTACTTAAATAAAAATAAAATAAATTAATTAATTATTTTAAATTAATAATTAAAGAATAAAAAATTTATTTCGGATCAGACACGGATATTACAATAAAATTATAAGGAATAACAAATGATGAATTATTATTTTCTCTTTTTCTTCAATTTCTTTTATCCATAAAAAAAATATAATATCTCTGCTATAAGAAATTCAATGTTTCATATATAAATTGGAAATAAATTTATAAATAAATTTCATAAAAAATATTAGTTTCTTCCTTATATAATCTCTAATTGTAAATTTTTGACAAATTAAAGATTATCTTCCCATGTCACCAAATACAAAAATTTATTTGAGACATAGAATTAGATTAAAAGAATATGCCAAGAAAAAAATTCCAAACAATCAGTAAGTTTTATTTTTATCAATTATGAGATAAAAAAAATTACTTTTTGTTAAATCATTAACAATGGTAAATAAAACTGTAGCCAAAATAAGTTTTACCTTTCTCAATTATGATAAAAGTAAATTTGAAATTTTTTTTTTAATAGAACTAATTTTATAAACTATAACTATTACCCAAATAAGCAGATATAATATTTCATAGATAGGTCTATTTACTTTATCATAATTTATTTATTTACTTGGTAATATATGATTTAACTAAATAAAATAATAATTAATAACATTAAAATCTATCTAAAAATTAAATTTATATATAAAAAAAAAGTTAATTATTTTTTAAAAAATAACTCATATTATATTTAAAATAATTATAGAAATACTGTACAAATATCCGTACAAAAATGACAAAGACATACTTCATATTGTATTTAAGATAAAATTTGATGACTAAAATGTGAAGTGGTTAAATAATTTGAGGAAGCTTAGGGGAATTAAAATATTAATTTAATGAAATATCTCTAAATACAGAAAATAATAATTTTAATGTTACTGTTAAAATGTCATGAATTAAATTGTATAATATAATGTACGAAAAGAGGATGTAAATGAAATAATTATTTTATATTTTTACTCTTATTTTAACTGTTTAAATAAAAAAAATAAACATTTCAAATAATTTATTGAGAAAATTTTCAAAAGTTTATTTAATTTAATTTTTATTTTAAAGCCATTTAAAAAAAGTATTTATTTTAAAAATTACCTCTCTCTCTCTCTCTTCTCCATTATTTTATTATGGAATCAGTGGCAACATAAATAAAGTTAAAAAAAACAATATTACGTGGGGTATCTTCTTAGTTCTTTAATTAAAAATTGTATTTTTTTGTCTGTAATCCTCTATTCTTTTGTAAAATTTTAAGAAGATTTTCACTCATTAAATAAAAATTTCAAACACATTTTCCGGCCCAAATTATTTTTTGACTGAATCGAAACCACGGATATAAATAATCATTATATATTACATAAACATAAACAAATTATATATATTACTGCTAGCAGTCGCTCATATCCAATCTTTTCAGAAATTTTTTTTCATATTTTCATTGAAGAGACAAAGGCCAAAAATTTGTCAGCCCGAATCTAGCCACCCCCAAAAGATCCAACTACCCAGTACTGAATCATTACATCAG